GCCATTTTCATAAAAGGCTTTAGAATGGCCCAAAGTGTAAAAGACTGGATCAAATAACAACAGGATCAATAAGAGCGCCTTGCTGAGCTACACTGCAGTCTGAAGTCAATGAAAGAATCAGTGACACAGCATGGATTCAGTTTTTATCTAAAATGATGATATTTTGGCCAGGTGTGGTGGCTTAAGCCAGTAATCCCAATGCTTTGGGAGGCCAAGGTGGGGGGATTGAGTGAGGCCAGGAGTTTGAAACCAGCCTGGGCAACATAGCAAGACCCAGTTTCTGCCAAAAATAAAAAGTTAGCCAGGCGTGGTGATGTACACCTGTAGTCTCAGCTACTCAGGAGACTGAGGCAGGAGGATGGCTTGAGCCCAAGAGTTCAGGGCTGAGATTGCACCACTGAACCTTGTCCTGAGTGACAGAGTGAGACCCTCTCTCTTAAAAATTTTTTTGTAAATATTTTGGCCAGGCAGGGTGGCTCATACCTGTAATCCCAACATTTTGGGAGGCTGAGGCAGGCAGATCACTTGAGGTCAGGAGTTGAGAGCAGCCTGGCCAACATGGTGATACCCCGTCTCTACTAAAATACAAAAATTAGCCGGGAGTGGTGGCAGAGGTCTGTAGTCCCAGCTACTTGGGAAACTGAGGCAGGAAAACTGCTAGAACTGGGGAGGCAGAGATTGTGGCACACTGCACTCCAACCTGGGTGACAGAGTAAGACTTTGTCTCAAAAAAAAGAAAGAAAATTGTAAATATTTTGTTCATGAATTTTGCATTAATTTTGATTTTCTAAAATATTGCATTAAAATATTATTTATCTTAATCATCAAATTTTTAGGGGTAACCTCTTATATCTTGCACCCTCACCCTGGTCCCAGCCTGATTCCTGAGGCTTTTCTTAGGGACCATTCCTGGCTCTATGGTGATGGGACAAGACAGAGAAATGGACCCATTATGACAAGGCAGAGTGACACTTGCTGTGTGTTTGGGGGTAGGATATCCTGGAAATGACACTAATTAAGGGACATGGAAAGCTTTTTGGAGGTGATGTCTGGCAAGAGTTAGTTGTGAGGAAGAAGAGGGCTCTCAGCTCTAAGAGGAAGTGAGAAGGGTTGAGACAGCTTCCAAAAAAGTTGGGGTGAGTGCAAAAGCAGGCCGGCTAGAGCAGGCAGATTTAGGATTCGGGGCCATGGACCAAGATCAGATCTAGGTAGGAATTTCCTGGCGACGAGTCCATGGCATTTATTTATTTTATTTTGAGATGGAGTTTCACTCTTGTTGCCCAGGCTGGAGGGCAATGGCAAGATTGGCTCACTGCAAACTCCACCTCTCGGGTTCAAGTGATTCTCCTGCCTCAGCCTCCCGAGTAGCTGGGATTACAGGCATGTGTCACCACGCCCAGCTAATTTTCTGTATTTTTAGTAGAGACAGAGTTACTCCATGTTGGTCAGGCTGGTCTTGAACTCCCGACCGCAGGTGATCTGCCCACCTTGGCCTCCCAAAGTGCTGGATTACAGGCGTGAGCCACCGTGCCTGGCCGGCCATGACATTTATATAGGCAGTAGTTCTCAGACCACCCTCCCCAGACCAGAAGCATCAGCATTGCCTGGGAATTCATTAGACGGGCAAAATTTCCAGCCTGAGAGCAAACTATGTGAACTGGAAACTCTGGGAGGTAAGGTCTAGCAAACTGTGTTTTCTCCAGGGGATTCTCAAACGCTCAAATTTGAAAACGAATGTAAACGAATAAAAGAAAAGTAAATCAAATGAAACAACACGCATTACAATGTGGAAATGCTTAGTGCTCCTCCCCGAGGGGACACAGGGGTCTCAGAAGCATGGGCCTGCCAATAAGGAATGTGTGTGGATTTGAGAAATCAAATATTCTCTACTTAACTGAATTTTGTCCACAATTTTGCCTTATGTTTGACATTTAAGTACCTATGATGGTCTGTCCACCTAGAGCGGGGCTTACAAACGCGGGCACCTCGTGTGGGATGCTTTAACGTTAGGAGAGGTGTTGCTATCCATTATTTCCTTTTCTCTAAGGATGGTTGAACAACTCTTAACAAAACTCCCAAGCAAAACAAAGTATATTCTTCCTCTGCTTTTGTTTTTTATTTTTATTTTCTGGGGGGCTGAGGCTCGCTCTGTCACCCAGACTGGAGTGCAGTGGCACAATCTCGGCTCACTGCAACTTCCGCTTCCCGGGTTCAAGTGATTTTTCTGCTTCAGCCTCCTGAGTAGCTGGGATTACAGGTGTGCGCCACCATGCCTGGCTAATTTTTTGTATTTTTAGTAGAGATGGGGTTTCAACATCGTCACCTTACTGGAAATTGAGTTAAAAAATACTAGGTGTCAGGTCTCGATGTGCAAGCCCGGACCCAGAAAGTCTAAAGTCTCGCCTGCCTCGGCTGATCACCCCCACCCCGCTCCTGGGTTTGCCATTACCCCTGATCACCTAGCAGAGCTTCCCCCTGGACATCAACCCACCCTGCCATCTTAACTGTTATTATAATAATGCGATATTCCTCAGCCCACCTTGCCATCTTAACTGCTCTTCTCTGTGAATATCCTGCCGCCCCACCCTACCATCTTAACTACTCTTATGCCCTACCCCACCTGCCTTTGTAACTGAACTTACGGTAATGTATACTCCTTGCCCCTACCCCCACCACTGTAACTGATCTTACTCCGTAACACCCCGGCCCCCTCCCCAAAAGATTTGCCTCGACCTATAAAACCAACTCCTATCCCACCGCCCTTTGCTAACGCCCTTTTTGGCCTTAGCCCACCTGCACCCAGGTGAATAAACAGCCATGTTGCTTACACAAAGTCTGTTTGCGGGTCTCTTCATTCAACGTGAGCGCTTTTAACACTAGGCCAGCCATGGTGGCTTGTGCCTGTAATCCTAGCACTTTGGGAGACAGAAGCAGGAGGATTGCCTGGGCAACATGGTTAAAACTTTTTAAAAGGGCTGGGCGCGGTGGCTCAAGCCTGTAATCACTTTGGGAGGCCGAAGCGGGTGGATCACGAGGTCAAGAGATGGAGACCATCCTGGTCAACATGGTGAAACCCCGTCTCTACTAAAAATACAAAAAATTAGCTGGGCATGGTGGCACATCATGCCTGTAATCCCAGCTACTCAGGAGGCTGAGGCAGGAGAATTGCCTGAACCCAGGAGGGGGAGGTTGCGGTGAGCCGAGATGGCGCCATTGCACTCCAGCCTGAGTAACGAGAGCGAAACTCCGTCTCAAAAAAAACAAAAAACAAAAAACAAAAAAAAAACTTTTTAAAAGGAGCTGGGCGTGGTGGTGTGTACCTAGAGTTCCATCTACTCAGGAGACTGAGGCAGGAGGATGGCTTGAGGTGGGGAGATGGAGGCTACAGTGAGCTATGACTGTGCCATTGCACTTCAGCCTGGGCAACGGTAGTAAGACCTTGTCTCAGAAAAAAGAAAGAAAGAAAACTAATTTGTGTTGATGTATGAAATGGAGTTAGGTTCTGGCTTTAGATGATTATAAATGGGTTTTTCACCCATTAAATATTTTGTGGGAATGGAGCAATTCTTCTTGGGGAGACTGTCCAGTGCATTGGAAGACATTTAGCATCCATGGGCCCTGCACTCGAAATGCCAGGAGCTCTCCCCTCCCATCAGCAAGACAACTAAAAACATTCCCATACCCCCTTCGAAACGCTCGGTAGAAGCTACAGTGCCCCCCACTGAGAACCACCTTTGAGATGAATCGTGCTGAGACCCTGTGAATAACAAGGAGGTCACAGCCCCAGGACAAAGGGAGGTAAGGGGAAGAATCCAGGAGGCTGCGGTGGGTTTCCTGTTGGGCAGTGAGACAGATTTGCTAAACCGTGGGGCGGGCTAGGACCACTACATTTGGCAGTACTTGTGCAACATGCAGAGGTCGGGGTGGAAGCCGGGGAATGAGACTTTGGTAAAAGAGAAATTTCTTAGTATTGCTAAGTCAAGCCAGAATTGCCTTCTTGGTATCTTACTCCATGTTGCTCTCTCCATCCCCATACTGGTCACGTCTCCCCGGGACAACAGCAGCAGCCTCCTCCCTGGTTTTTCTCAGCCCTCTGTCCCATGGTCCCTCCTCCACGCAACAGGCGGAGCGATCTTTCCAGAGAGGATCGAGACTCCAGCCATTCCTCCCCTCTTCCCTTCCCGGGGCACTGGCCTCCTGTTGACAACGTTCTTCCTGTTTCCGGACACGCTGATCCCTCTCGCCTGGAGAACTGTCTCTCCCTTCTTTCACCTGTTAATCCTGCTCACGCTCAAGCCTCAAAATAAATCTCTTCTGGGAAGCCTTCCCTGACCCTCCAAGGAGTTGGCTGGGTCTCAGGACACAGAAATAATTCATTGAAAAAGATTAGCAAAGTAATTTTTTCAAACGTGCCTAATAACTTGATTAACCTCTGCAAAATTAGGCGAACCTATTTTGCTTACTGTTTTATACTCAACGCCTGGCACTTAGTAGGTGCTCAAGAACTAGTCCATAAACGAATGAATGAATCAACGAATGCATTTCTGCACACTCCTGCAGGAGTTCACGGCGCAGGGGCCAGGATGTCTTTTATTTCTTGGTCGCTGTACAGTCCTGACTGCACGGTCGCCGGGCCTCAGTTTACCCAGCCGCAGCAGCGGGCGGGGCCCTGGAGCCTACCGGATCCGGGCGACGCGCGCGCCCCCGAGTCCCAGGCCAGAGGGCCGGTCGCGCGGGCGGGGGCGCGTGCATCGGGCGCGCGGTGGACGTGACAGACCTACCGAGGCCTCGGGCCGCCCTCGGGGGCCCCCGCGCACGCGCGCCTCCCCGCCCCGCCCCGCCCCGCCCCGCCCCGCCCCGCCCCGCCCCGCCCCGCCCACTCCCCTGCCCCGCCCCGCCCGGCGCGCGCCGGCGCGGGAGGCGGGAGCTGGGGGCGGGGGCGGGGGCGACGCCGAGGGGGAAGGGCGGGCCCGGCCCGGCTCGGCCCGGCCGCCCGCGCGCGGCTCCTGGAGGCCCCGGGCCCGGCCCGGGCGGCGGTGGCGGTGGCGGCTCTAGCTCAAGACGTCGGTGGCGCCGTAGCACCGCGCCGCGGCCATGGCCCTGGTCACCCTGCAGCGGTCGCCCACGCCCAGCGCCGCCTCCTCCTCGGCCAGCAACAGCGAGGTGAGCCCCAGGCCCGCTGCGCCCGGCCTGGGCCGCCGGACGCCGAGCCGAGGCCGCCAGAGCCGGGGCCGCGCGTGCGCAGCGGCGGAGGGGTGGTGGCTGTGCGAGCTCTTGTGGGGGGCCCCACTGTAGGAACCGAGCTGGGCAGCCGGACCGGGGTGACAGTGCGAGGACTGTGTGCGATGTGACCCTGTGTGGGGGAGCTGTGCGGGGACTTTGTGTGCGGTGTGACCCCTATTGGGGAGCGACTTTGCAGGGACTGTGTGCAGTGCTCCTGTGGAAGTGCCTGCAGGGGATTGTGTGTGCGCTGTGATCCCCATCGGGGGTGACCCCCATCTTGGGGTGATCCCTGTTTGGCGGGGACTGTGCTTTGTGATCCCCATCTGAGGGTGACTGTGCAGAGACTGTGTGTGCAGGTGTGACCTCGTGAGTGGGGACTGTGATTTCAGGTGTGACCCCTGTCTGGGGGTTGACCTCTGTCTGGGAGGACTGTGTGTGTGGAGGGGACTCCTATTTGTGGGTGACTCTGCAGTGTGACCCGGGTCCAGGAGTGACTAGATGTGCGACTGGGACCCCTGATTGGGTGACTGCGTGAGCTGCTGGTTCTGAGACCTGTGGCCGGGGAGGGGGGGGTCGAGGCCCTTTGCCTGTGTGCCTGGCTTTGCGATGTGAGATGTGACTCTGGTTGACCTGTCTTCCGGGTGTGCCAGCGTGAGACAGGCATCTGGAGGTGCCCCTACAAACGTGTGAGATTGTTTCCCCACCTGCCGCCTCAGGAGTTCTGGCTGTAGGCGTGCCTGTGTCGCTGTGTGATGGTGACTGAGCCGTGTCACTGTGTGACGGTGACTGAGCGTGCTTCGGGTTCTGTGTGCAGCCTGAGTCCGGCTTTTCCTTTCTGTAACATCACTTAGGGCTGTGTGTTTATGTGCATCTGCCTTTCTGTGTGGCTGTGACCCATTCTGGCTGATTGCATAGGTGCATCTCTGGGCCGCATGTGCCGGCACTGTGCACGTTTTTGTGGTTCTGTGTGTGTGGCCCGGGTCTGTTTGCCTGGCTTCTTCCTCTGGGGTTAATTGAGGGAACTGGTGCCCTCTGAGCCTGCAGGGTTGGCCTGGCTTGTCTTGGGCCCTGTAGCTGGAGGGATGACCCTCTGGTCGTGCAGTCTCACCCACCATCTCTGGGAGAACCCTTCAAGGCCTCTGGTCTAAACTCTTATCTGTAACAAGGCTGAGTGTTTGCCTGCAGACCCTTAGCTATGTTTAGAGAAGACTGGAGAGGTGGCTCTGCAGTCTCAGGCCCAGGAAGTTCTGCAGCCGGCATCTGGGCTCTTCAGACCCTTTCTTTGTGGGAGGGAGTGGGGGAAGTTGACTGATAACACGGGGGAGGTTTGTGTGTCTGTGTGAGACGAGAATAATATTTGCGTTCGGTTTGACAGCCCCGTCTCCTGGTAGGGTAGCTCTTCAGCCTTGCTTTGCTGGGATTGGCAGGTATGTTTTCAGAGTGCCTGGGAACTTGAACCTTTTCCTTGGAGAGGTGAGGCCACTCATGAGTTATCTACAGACAGAAGGTTCTAATAATCCCCCCTCTACATGATGATTAGAGGCAAAAGAAATTGGCCATCAATGGCCTGCTACTGAGAAGTTGGATTGCAATAGTGCCTTTCCTTCCCACAGCGAGGAGGGGCTGTTTTCTGTTCCTGTCTCTGTCGTCTGGTAATTTACAGAGTACTTTTATGCATGTAATCTCAGGTTCTCATCACAAAAACTTACCTGAGGTAAGGGGAGAGGTTGGCTTCAGGCTGAGCCTGTCAGCCCAGATTTCTGATTCAAAACCCGATGTTCCTGGAGTTACTTGTAACCTAATCTGTTCTTGTCTGACACATTTTTAAGGGCTTATTATTTTTTAGTTTCATGCCATAAGTTGGCCATTGTAAAGTGTACAATTCAGCGGTTTTCAGTATATTCATGAGATTATGCAAGCATCACCACCATCTAATTCCAGAACATTTTCACCCCCCACCAAAAAAGGAACTCTGTACCCCTTAGCCCTCAGCTGCAGCCTCCCCCTGCCCTATGCTCCCTAAGGCAGCCACTCATCTACTTTCTGTATCTATGGATTTGTTTATTCTGAATATTTTATATAAATGGAATCACACCCTATGTGGCCTTTTGTGTCTGGCTTCTTTTACTCAGTGTCATGTTTTCTTTTTTTTTTTTTTTTTTTGAGACAGGGTTTCACCATTTTGGTCAGGGTGGTCTTGATCTCTTGACCTGGTGGTCTGATTGCCTTGGCCTCCCAAAGTGCTGGGATTACAGGCATGAGCCACTGCGCCCAGCCCAGCATCATGTTTTCAAAGTTCTGCATGTTGTAGCATGTGGCAGTACTTCATTTGTTTTCATGGCTGTATAATACTCCATTGTATGGATGTACCATATATTGTTGGACATTTGCATTGTTTCTACTAGGCAAAGTTTCTTTTTTCTTTTGACATGGAGTCTCACCCTATCACCGGGCAGGAGTGCAGTGGCACCATCTTGGCTCAGTGCAACCTCCACCTCCTGGGTTGAAGCGATTCTCCTACCTCAGCCTCCCAAGTAGCTGGGATTACAGGCGTGTGCCACCACGCCCAGCTAATTTTTTTTCTGTAGAGACAAGGTTTCACCATGTTGGACAGGATCGTCTTGATCTCTTGACCTCATCATCCGCACGCCTCAGCTGCCCAAAGTGCTGGCATTACAGGTGTGAGCCACCACGCCTGGCCTACGTTTTCAGTTATTTTATAAAGCATTATTTTTACCAAGTGCCAATGACCTGATAAACACAAAGTAAAACTCAGGCAGCTTTTATTCTATCGTAGTAAAGCTGCAGCATTTGTAGCTGGGCTTTGAATGGGCTGGGATGTTTCCTGAAGGCAAGGCCCTCGCCCAGATGTGTTGAGCTGAGAAGCAAGGTGTGTTGGAGATAGCAGGTGTGCATGGGGGCAGGAGACCTGGGTGGGCCAGGCCGGCTCTGCCCTGGTCCGCCCTTGCTTGAGTTACTACCTGTCTGTGGGCCCTGGCTCATCTAAAAGGACTAGGTTACCTCTTTCATGTGTTCCGTGGCATATATAGCTTCCCTGGAATAGCTGACCTGACATGGCCTTTCATCCAAGAACCTGGGAGAGTGACCGAGAATTAAGTGATTGTGAAGTCCATACCCACAAGCCACGTCATCACTCATCAAAATGCAACTTCATAATGAGTCAGACACTTAGGGCTGCGCTTTCCTGACACAGCCAGGCCTGCTGCCGGCGTGGGAAACAGGGATAGCAGCCTTCAAGCCCTCAGCCCTAAGGCTCTCCTTTCTCTTTTAATTTTCTTTCTTTTCTTCCCCCCAAGTCTTTAATTTTATCACTTATGTTATTTTCTTGTGAATCTTAACTCAGTTCCTTTGTGTGAACAGGCAGCACACAAGAATAGATAAATCAGTAATTTTCAGGAATGGATCGTAACATTGTTGTTGCTGAGAAACGTTCAAGGTGACTAATTTTCATGGGCAGATCTCCAGGCACATTTTGGATTGGACCAGAGTTTCTCAACCCACTGTTGCCACTTGGGACCAGAACATTCTCTCTTGTGGGGGGACCGTGCTGTGCATTATGGGATGTGTAGCACATGTGGGATCCTGTCCTCTACCCACTAGGTGCCAGTAGTGACCTCCAGAAAAATGCCTCCAGACATCGCCTACTGTCTCTTCTTGAGAGAACTTGCTCCCAGTTGAGAACCACTGGGTTAGACCCAACATTCTCTTCTCAGTTTGTTGCTGTTGTGACTTGTTTTGTGGTCACTGAAGCCTTCCCTGGCCGTTCCAATTGTCCTTCAGTGTAGGGTAGGTGCCTCTGCAAAATCTTGTATGTGCATCATCTTAATAGGATGTAGGGACTCTCTGGCCCTCTGGTGTACACATTCTTTTTTTTTTTTTTGAGACTTAGTCTTGCTCTGTCACCCAGGCTGGAGTGCAGTGGTGTGATCTCGGCTCACTGCAACCTCCGCCTTCTGGGTTCAAGTGATTCTCCTGCCTGAGCCTCCCACGTAGCTGGGATTACAGATTATTTGCCACTATGCCTGGCTAATTTTTGTATTTTTAGTAGAGTTGAGGTGTCACCGTGTTGGCTAGGCTGGTCTCGAACTCCTGACCTCATGATCCACCTGCCTTGGCCTCCCAAAGTGCTGGGATTACAGGTGTGAGCCACCACACCTGGCTTTTTTTTTTTTTTTTTTTTTGAGACGGAGTCTGGCTCTGTTGTCCGGGCTGGAGTGCAGTGGTGCGATCTTGGCTCACTGCAACCTCCGCCTCCTGGGTTCAACTGATTCACCTGCCTCAGCCTCCCAGGTAGCTGAGATTACCGGTACGTGCCACCATGCCTGTCTAAGTTTTGTAATTTTAGTAGAGACGGGGTGTCACCGTCTTGGCCAGGCTGGTCTGGAACTCCTGACCTCAGATGATCCACCTGCCTTGGCATCCTGCAGTGTTGGGATTACAACCGTGGCCAGCTGGTGTATTCATTCTTGGTTGAAGTTGCCACCTCCTGGTGGGTTTCCCTTGCTGCCCAGGCCCCGCCCTACATTATCTCTGGACCACTTTTCCTCCGCCTCCTCGGCTTCTGCTTCATTTCTGTCCTCAGTCAGCCCTGCATCTCTCCCAGCCATCACAGCTTTCCAGGTTTCTTTTTCCCATTCAATAGGTGCCTCTGTGCAACATAAAAACCATGCCAAGTCCCAGTGGTGCCGAGTTGTTTGGGGTGTGTGTGTGTGTCTCCTTCTCATTTCAGTTTGCTCTTTGAAAGAAAAAAAAATAAGTCATAGGTACTTCTGGAGCCCAACCTCTTGGCCTTTTAGCTTTCAGAACATATTAAATATCTTTTTCTTGCATTTATATAAATAACCGATAGCCTAGAACATTTCGTATTAAACGTTTAAGTCTTTTCGAGAACCACCAAGAGCTTTCGAGACCTACACACAGACAGCCCGATTCCTGGCCACCTTTCACTGTGCAAGACTTGCCTGGGATGGTTTTTTGAAAATGGTGTTCATCACTCAGCTGTGATTGCCTGGCTCGACAGAGGAAGTGGATTCTCTTTAAACACGGCCCCCTCCCCTTAAAAGAGAAAAACAGGATAAGATCCAGAACAACCCCGGAAAGTTGAGGGCCGAGGGCTAAAGACTGCTGGGTAACAACACCAGATAGGAAATGCTCAGCTAACAGGACTCCATCCCCTGGACTGTGGCAGGAATGTGGGTCAACATTGGGAAACCTGAAAATTCCCCCACGGAAATGACTCCAAGGGACAGACCGGGATTGGTGAGGAAAGGGCATGGCTGTTGAGAAGTAGCCAGGTTTCCTGGATATCTTTATCTTTTTCCAACACCGGGTTGGAAAATGTGAGACTGCCGCCCGAGGCGTGTTGTCAGTGGTGCCTGTGGTGTGATATTCTCTTTCTTTCTCTGTAGTTGGAGGCTGGGAGCGATGAAGATCGAAAGTTAAACCTCAGGTAAGCAGACTTTCCATTTTTGTTCCTAAGTCTTTCTCCCAAGCAGGTAAGGAATGCTCTTGTTCCTCTCCAAAGGGAAAACCTACGAAAAGAATATGCCAATTTTTTCAGCGCCTTAGCAGTTATTACCTACAGCATATCTAAAACTGTAATGCTTTAAAATCCATATGTACGTTTAGCCGCCTTAGTAATATTATATAACACTTGGAAAAGAAGGAAAATAATTGCCATTATTCTACCACCCTTACATTACCATTTGGGGCATATTTTTTTTTTTTTTTTTTTTTTTTTTTTTGTAACTTACTATTTTTTAATAGAGACAGGGTCTTGGACTCCCGGCCTCAAGTGATCTTCCTGCTTGGCCTCCCAAAGTACTGGGATTACAGTCATGAGCTACTGCACCCTGCCTAAGTTGAACATTTTTATGTATTTTCTTGCAGACTATTCTTCTGCTTATAAAAAAAAAAACCTAATAATCAAGAAACGAATGTTCCTTTTGCCATAAGCACTTTGCTGATTTGAAACAGATACTCAACCCCCTAAATGTATCAATTCATGGTGCTTTAACTGTGCTTAGGAGAAATCTTTAGCTCTGTTCATTTAAAAGATTCCAAGATGTAGTCCTCAGCTGATGTATTCATTAATGGACACCAAAAACATTTTTGTTTTTTTTTGCCAAAAATTAAGTCCTGCTTTTTTTGGGGTGTTTATAGATGATTCAGCCCTTTGTTATATTCATATAATATATTCCTTCACACCAAGGAGCCAGTCTTAAACTCTGACCTCAGAGTTCAAAAAGAGTAAACAAACTTTCAGGGATATTGTTCTTTAAAAAAAAAAAAAAAAGTCTGTTTTATCTCATGAGGGGAAGGAAAATTAATTGGAAGAGGAAATGTGTGTTCAGAAATTGGGGTCAACTATTCATTACTGAGAGCAGGGTGTTCTGGTCAAACTCTCATGCAGAACTGGTAGAAATATGATCAGCTTTTTTTTGACGTTTCTGTCTGTTTGAGTGAAGGAAGGGGAAATACTCACTTTTATTGTGGCACACATGATTTCTAAAGATAGTGTGGGTAGGGAAACACGAGCCTGCAAGAATCAAAGAGATAAGATGTCTTATTTCTGCTGCTGGGTCTTCGCTTTTAATGTGATGCTCAAGACACGGGACATATTTGCTCTGTCACTCTGGGGTTTTTGGTTAGTCAGGTCAGGGCCCACCTCAGGGTTCCCAGCGTGGAAGCAGCTGGACTCCCAAGTGGGGGCAGTCATGGGCCGAGTTGCAGATCAGACTGGGTGGAAGCAGGGAGGGGGTGGAGTGGAAGTCTGGAGACTGGCTGTCAAGGACGAACTGAAAGAGCAGCTTGCCTGCCTTTTCAGAGCAGCTCCTGAGGTACCCAGCTCCCTTCCCCCCAAAATCCCCTACCCCAGATCCCTGCCCCCAGGTTCCCTTCCCCCAGTCCCTCACCATCTCCCCTCCCCTCCCCCAGCTTCCCTCCCTAGATCCACCTCCCCAAGCTCCCATTCCCCAAACCCCCTCCCAAGATCCACTCCCCAAGCCCCCCTCCCCAATATTCCTCCCCCAAATCCCCTCCCTAGATTTGCTCCCCCATCTCCCCTCCCTAAAGTCCCCTCCCCAAGCTCCCCTCCCCTAGATTTCCTCTCTAGATCCCCTTTGAAAGCCTCTCCCCGTCTCTCTTCTCCATCTGCCCTCCCCCAGCTCCCCTCCCCCAGCTCCCCTCCCCCAGCTCCCCTCTCCCTGATTTCCTCCTTAGCTCCCCTCCCAAGCTCCCCACCCTCAGGTCCGCTCCTCGAGCTCCCCTCCTCAAAGCTCTTTTCCCCCAGTTCCCTCTTAGAGCTCCTCTCCACCAAGTCGCCTCCCCAACTTCCTCCTGGAGCTCCCTTCCCCGGCTCCCCTCCCCAGCTCCCTCCTGGAGTTCCCCTCCCCGGCTCCCCTCCCCGGCTCCCCTCCCCCAGCTCCCTCCTGGAGCTCCCCTCCCCCACACCTCCTCCCCTGGTTCCTCTCCAGCCCTTTCTTGGGGTTGGAATCTCTTCCATCCCTTGACCCCATCCCTCTCTGTCAGGGCTGTTATTGGTGAGAGAGCACTGAGTTCTGTCACTTAGACTATCTTTGGGACAAAGAGCTATTTTCGTTTTTTAATTACCTTTAATAGCTTATAACATAGTGTTTTCAGTTAATTTGAACTTATAAATGGCAGTGACATGAAAATGTGTATATGGACCTTTCTCACTGGTATTTAACCTTTTTAAAACTATATATATATATATATATATATATATATATATATATATATATATATATATTTTAAAGGCTAGTCAAGTGGAGTGGAGAAGGAACAAAGAAATCTGTAACTGGTTGTGATCAGTGAGTTGTAAACACCACTGCACTCGGACCAGCCTTAACTTTTTTTTAAATTAAAATATTTTATTTTTATTTTTTGGAGACAGAGTCCTAACTTTGTTGTCCAGGCCAGAGTGCAGTGGTATGATTACAGCTCACTGCAGCCTTGAACTCCTGGGGCCAAGCTATGTTCCCACCTCAGCCTCCCAAGTAGCTGGACTACAGGTGTGTGCCACCACACCTGGCTTATTTAAAAAAATTTTTTTTTTTTTTTTTTTTTTTTTTTTTTTGAGATGGAGTCTTGCTGTGTCACCAAGCACCAGGCTGCAGTGTAGTGGTGCAATCTTGGCTCACTGCAATCTCCGTCTCCTGGGTTCAAGCAGTTCACCTGCCTCAGCCTCCCAGGTAGCTGGGAATACAGGCGCACACCACCACACCCAGCTAATTTTTGTTTTTTTGGTGGAGACAGGGTTTTACCATGTTGGCCAGGATGGTCTCAATCTCTTGACCTTGTGATCCACCCACCTCGGCCTCCCAAAGTGCTGGGATTATAGGCGTGAGCCACCGTGCCCAGCCTTAAAATGTGTTTTTGAAGAGACAAGGTCTCACTGTGTTGTTGAGGCTGGTCTCAAATTCCTGGGCTCAAGTGATCCTCCCACCTCAGCCTTCCAAAGTCCTGGGATTACAGGCATGATGACAGCCAGTGTACCTGGCCCTTTTCTCGCTAATAAAAGTCCCTTTCTCTGCCTAGTTGGGAGCTGCAGGGGACCTTACAAAGGGATGGGAAATAAGGCTTTGGCAGCTTTCCGTGTTGAATCCTCAAAACAGCCTTAGGAAGGAGATTTTCCCAGTTGGTGGTTGAGGCCCAAGATTGGAATTGGGAAATACTGTATTTGAAGTGAGACCTTCAACGTCAAGTTGACCCTACTGTGCTGCATTTCTGGAGACCAGGTTCATAATGCGGTTTGAATTAGCTGTCTCAGACATACAGGTGAGGGAGCTTGCCTAAGGCCACTGGAGTGAATTAGCAGCAGCGCCAGGGCCAGCATCAAGGACTCATGCCAGCTGGTGGTGGATGCCTCCTAGGATGTTGGATCATTGTGACTACCACCGAGAGTCCTTCTGTGCCACTCTCAGCAGGTCCCCAATACCATTGTGACCACTGGGAGACCCTGGGCTGGAGTTGGAGACCTGTGTTCTCATTCAGGGTGGGATGCTGGGCTCTGGGCTTGTCCCCCCTTTTAAGTCCCTCTTCAACCACCTTGACGTAGCACTCCCCTTTTGAGGCACAGGACACCATCCTGCCTCCTGACCTTCCTTGCCACACAAGAAAAGTTGTTGTGGCCTGGTTTAAGCTTTGACTGAAACTCATTCACATCCATGTGGTAATTTGCATTTTCAGGCCTTTTCTCTCTGAGTCTCTCCTAGAGAAGAAAATTATGGAATAGTTTGTTGCTTTTTGTTTGTTTGGGGTCGGGAAAGTTAGAGATTTCTCTTTGTTTCCAATGGATGCCGAAGGCGAACTGCCATTACCTCGTCTCTAAGAAAAACTGGAGGTAGCAGGATATTCCTCTCTCTTTTCTCCCCTTCGCCTAGCCTTAACTAATAGTGTCATCTTTTGGGTCATCCAAAAAGTCAGCTCTGATTCTTCCATATTCAGTAAATTGCAGGGACACATGGATTGGATTTTCCGAGTCACCCGCCTTCTTTTTCCAAGGTTCCCTGGTGGCACCTCTTTGGTCCTCACACCTCCTCTGTTCCATCACAGAGGGACACCTCTGGACCCATCCCCTCTGCCTTGGCATATCACCCCTGGCCTCTTGAGGCTTCTTCCTGCTGGTCCCCGAAGTCTTCCCTGTGTTCTGGTGTCACTGGTATTGCTGGCCTGTCCGCCCTCCACTCTCACACGTGCCTCTGCCAGTCCACGGGCCTACTCCCTGCTCCCCAACCACACACGTTCCCTAGGCCGGTTCCTTTTCACCGGGCCACAGTCCTCATGGCCAGTGAAAAGTACTCCCACCCCAAATGTTTGTGACTTCCCTCTCTTCAGAGAAAGCATGAGGCCCCTGGTGTCCCTCTCCGTGACAGGCGCCACACCCACCTTACAGGGCAGGTCTGTGTGTCTTTGTCGCATCCCTTAGTGATAGGGCCTCATTTCTCTGCCTTCATGTAGCATTTAAACAGTTTAAATGGCCGGGCATGGTAGCTCACGCCTCTAATCCCAGCACTTTGGAAGGCCAAGGCAGGATGGATCACTGAAGCTCAGGAGTTCAAGACCAGCCTGGCCAACATGGTAAAACCCCCCTCTACTAAAAAAACAAAAATTAGCCAGGCGTGGAGGTGCAGACCTGTAATCTCAGAAACTCAGGAGGCTGAGGCAGGAGAACTGCTTGAACCCAGGAAGTTACAGTGAGCTAAGATCATGCCACTGCACTCCAGCCTGGACAACAGAGCAAGACTCTGTCTCAAAATAAGTAAAGAAATAAAATAAATAAAAATAAACAGTTTAAGTGGTTGAAACTTTGACCCTGAAGTCAATTCCAGACAGTAGGAGAAATATAACAAGGTGTAGGGGGAAGGCAGTGGGGTTCTAAGTCAGGCAGACCTATCTGGCTCCTGTGCCAGTTACCAAACCTAACTC